TTGCCTCATAAACAAAGCTGTGAATTTCTTGTGTCAACCCTAAGTTGCGCAACTCTACTAATTATATTGATTAGCCAGTAAAAGCATATTTTTTGAAAATTTCTGCCGTGCCTGACGGTGCCTGAAGCCAAAATTAAATAACTGTGTTGCACAATAATTTATTGCTGAGGGTGGAAGTATGTAGGTAGTCAGTAATCCATAATGAAGAAAAAAATGGTTCCCCATTTACAAAATGTCTTTCCAACACTTTTACCTCTGTGCCAGAGTCAGTTGCCAGAGATTTTTCATTTTCTTTTTCTCTGTCATAATTTACCTGCAGTGGAGCTCTGATAGGAATACTGGTGGGTTTCTACCTGTCGATGTGGATCACAATAGGTGCGGCGACACACCAAGATGAAAATCACAACGTCAAAGAAGACGCATTTGCACTGTATAGGGTGAGTCAAGCTGTATAAGGCAAATCTGATGACTGCATTTGGCTTTGGGACCATAAGGCCAAAAAGCAAAATAGTTCTGCTTCCGGTTTCCCTACCTACCCTATTCTGACGGCCCCTACTCTAATTTTTATGGGGAAAATGAGGAAAACCTACCCCCCCCCAAAACCATCAATTTCTACCTTTTTCCCTTGACTACACGAAGATGCCTCCATATGATCGGACACAAAAACAATTGGGAAAAAAAATCCCAACCTACCTACCCTATTTTCGAATGCCATGTAATCAGAAGCAGAACTTTAAAAAAAAAAATTTGGCCTAATTGCTATGCATCCTCATGCACTTTGTATGAAAATCCCGAGTGGAATTTGCACAATTTTTTGAATTTGTTTCTGTTGTTGGAGCACTTACCAACAGCACTGCTTTTCCAGAGTGTACCTTCATTCATTGCAATAAAACTTAAGAAAGGAATCATGAAGAAATATTGACTAATAATTTGAACAATCCCAAATCTTTTGAAATTTTTTTAAAACAAAATCCCTCACCATCTCTTCCAGCAGAAAAATTTCTAGAGCAAACCCAACTGTGGATTAAAACTTGGAAAAAGAATCTTTAAAATTATGAAAAATAGTAAAAACTGCTGCAAACTGTTCCATGACTGGATTAACCTGGAATATACAAATCAAAACATTAGAGCGGCCTTATAGTCATCCTTAGCAAGGACTTCTTCAGAGGCAAATGACAGAGGAACAAGAAACAAACAGAACTATTTAAAATTCTTCCACAAACACTAAAATTATGTTGCTTTAGAATCATTTTTTTGGGGTCAAGTTGGCCCTCCATGTATAATTTCCTGTTTTTCTTGACTTTCAGATCTCCTTCATGTGGTACAGTATGTTCTCCAGCATGGCTACCTTCATAGTAGGAGTCATTGTCAGTGAGATCATCCGATGCAGTATACCAGACGAGCGATACAAACGAGTCGACCCTCTCCTCCTTGCAACATTCCTGAGGTAAGAGCCACTTATTTACTCCCCGGTCGTCCCCGTGCCAACTGTCCTGAGGTTGTCGGGTCACCGACTCATGTACCTGCTCAAGATGAATTCCGTCCATGCTTGTGTGATTGTTTATTTGTGCACGATTGAAAATGATGCAGAGTGCATAAGCTTAAGTCTCAAGCGATGAGTGCACTGTGAACACGTAGGCGCATGAGTAAGGGGGAATATAGCCCAGGTTGGACGATGTCTTCATTGCATTACGTCTGACGTCCAGGGTATAAATTGTACCACCATAGCGAAAAAAATTAGAACACATTTTTTTCTTCATATTATTACCTGACTGAGGAAGCTGAAATTTCGCGTACATATTCCCTGTGTCCAGAATTGTGCCTGCGCTGGGTTTAGAAAAGGCACATGTGCCCGCGGGCGGCGTGTTTACCGAAAATAAACCGCCAAGTTCTACGCTTTTGTTGAAAAAATTTTCAGTACGAACTCCCCGCATGAAGATATACATGCGCGTGCCGTTTGCTGCCGCTTGCTGCCGTGGCGGCAGCGTGCTAGGTGTGCATGCACGCGCGCGCGTAATCTTCACACAGGGAGTTCGTACTGAAAATGTTTTCAACAAAAGCGTGGGATTGCGGTTTATTTTCGGTAAACACGCCGCCCGTGGACATATTTGCCTTTTCTAAACCCAGCGCAGGCATAATTCTGGACACAAGGAATATGTAAGCGACATTTCAGTTTCCTCCGTCAGGTAAAAATCATACAAAATTTCCCCCCCCCCCCCCCCCCCCCCCCCCCCCCCCCCCCCCGCTATGGCAGGAGAAATTCATACCCTGGACTCCGTTGCGTGTACACAACGGAGTCCAACCTGGGCTTGGGGGAATAGTGAAAACAACACTCAGGCTTCCTCTCTGAGATGGAATTTACCCACAGCTAAGTCGAATCGAAGTAGCCAGCCAACTCTGGCAAGCTTTGTGGGAAAAGTGGTTAAAGGGAATGTACAACATTTGCTTTTGCTGCAATTTTCAGAAAGAAATGGATTTGGAGGATAAGTATGTTATAGAAAATATTGTTAACCTGACTTGTTTCACGTTTTGGGCTTGTAGATGCTGGAAAAACCAAGAAAACCAATCATGTTGTTGTTGTCTAGTTCCCTGACCCCACTTAAGATGAAACAGAGCAATTAATAGACTTTCGGGAATTGTAAGGTCAGAGAATCAGTATAGCAGGCTTGTACCCCTTCACAGGTGTGCAATCAATTGCAAACAAAAGTCAGAATAACTAAATATGAAAAATTAGTAACAGTTTTTGAAAAAAAGCCAGTATTCTCCAACGCTTGTCGGCCGACCAGCATTGGAAAAATACAGTTGTTCTATAAAAATGTCAGCACACCAGGAGCCACGATTTTACAGGATGCTTTAGACTGTCATTCCCTGACAATCCAGTAAGGTATTTCGTGATAATTTGATCATTTGATTTTTTAATGAGTGCAAATGTTGTATCTTCCCTTTAAGATGTCAGCACTAACGAGCAGGGGGATATGAGTTTGATTCATATCAGATTTAAGCTTGTGAATTTTTTCTTACAAGCTCTCGAACAGCATTGAATTTACAGTGCTAATAACATAAAATCGACACTCCCCTATGCAAACAATTCCATCTTACAAGATAAGATTACATGTAATGAAACATTTTTTAAAAACTGTTTCAAGTGTTAAATATGCGAATTTCCTTCCTTTTGTGTTTTCAGGCCCAAAGGTTGGCATAAATCCTACTCCGGCACCGAGTCGAACAACCCAGACCTGCAGATCGGCGATCCGGTGTTCCAGAGTCTACTGGCCTCCGGCAATCAGAGCATGGACCAGGAGAACGAATCGCTGATGGGTGACATAGAAGGAAATGACATCCACGAATTAGGGTCAGTGCAAAACGAGGTCACAGACATGAGAAATGGACAGTATTAATGCTTAGCAGGCTTGTGGCACAGGGGTCCAGGTCCTAGACTTGTGGCTGATTCATCTCATTGATTTGTTGCGGTTTTGGAATAGTCGGGTCCAAGAGCTAAGGTTGCAGACTAGTAAATAAACTGCCATAGATCCCAGTGATAAATATACCCACTTCCCAAATTTAGGAAAAATACTCACAACTCTCCTAAGTGTTCAAGCTTATTTCATCATCTTTCATTTTCTGTAAAAAATTTTTGGATTAACCAATGACTTTTGGAAGAAAATTCCATCCAAAGATGATCACCCCTTAAAGTAGTCGTGAAGCGCATCGCCATTTTGAGAAATGATGCCTGCCCTTCATGGCAAAATAGAGCAGTTTTAGGGCCCAATTTCACAAAACCCTCAAGTTCATGGCCCACAAAATTCTGTAATAGGAAAAAAAAAGAAGTTGAGGTCATGCAAATCGTGATTTGGCCGGCGTAGGCAAGTTTGGGCCTATTTACTGGCCTGCAACCTTACGAACTCTACAGACTGAGGACTCCACGCTATGCTGCTTGTGTAATGTAATTTATGCGCATGTTCATACATAGACTGCTACAATGTGTATAATAGTATCTCAGCAACCAAACTGAAAAAAATGTTGTTCATAAAATGTATAGTTATTTACAATTCTCCTCGTGATGTGGAAACAAAGTTTTATTTTATTTTAATTGGGCATTATTTACGAAAAAAATCAATGTGTGTTTTCTTGTTCATAAGTGTAATGGCAGTTACAAAAGCAACAGATGTGCTCATTCTACGTTCATTTCTCTATTTTCTAAGTTATAAATTATAACAAAAAATATACTTACAAGGCATTACAAAAGAAAGATTAAAACGCCTCACCAAAAGGTGACATGATGTATTCTACTCAAATTACGTCGGTGAAGGGGATATATTTCGGTTTTACTCGAGTTACGGTATTACTCGCTCTACAGTCTGTCCGCCCATCTTTGGTAAAAGTAAAAATAAGTAAGAAACTGATAATCAAACAAAACAAAACTCTATTGGCGTTGAATATGAACCTTTCTCTCTGCCTTAACCAGTTCACGCTGGAGCCACGCAAAAGTTTTCCGAAATTCAGATCGAATGACTGATGAACCCGCAACAAGCGCGGCTGGAAATATCTGTCAGCACCCAAAAAAATTAGGGTGTGCTACCCGCAGATCATGGCTTGAACCCGTCGGGCATCGAGGTTCGTGAAAAAATAATCCCGCTTCTGGGTCAGGTTGCTGTCAAAATAAACCCGGCTCGAACTGGTTAAAAACAAAAACTCACAATAAGGCCCCCCAAAAAAATACTCGGTCTCTGGTCAGGGCGCGCGTCGATTTTAATCATGCGCGTCAACCTTTTTTTTCTTCTTAAAATTAACATGAAAGCTACAACAGCGCCCTCTATTGCCGCGCCTCCTCAAATTTTTGTACCAAGGAGCACCAAGGAATGGGGAAATTGCACCAAGGCAAATGATAAAGGGCACCAAGGCAAATTATGGAGGACACCAATGTATAATGAGGACACAAACAAGCAAAATAGTACCCACCTTGTCTGTACAATCCAAGCTTGAAAAAAACAAGCCACCAAAAAAAAAAAAAAAAACCGCGTCGCCGCATCAATTCCGGAACTTCGGTCTGAACAGAGACCGACTATTTTTTTGTGTGGCTTAACACTTGCATTTGGCATGAGAAAACAAGATGCCAAAATGACTCCCTAAAATCCATACTTTAAACGCCCAGAACAGGTTTTTGACAAAAAGTACATTTAACCTCATTCCATCTCACTGGCACACCACTCAAATGAAAGGTCTTGTTGTCCCCTTTAATTTGAGACCACAGTGGAGGTTGTGACGCTTGTAGTTCTGATGAAGATTTCGTAAAATGTTCCACTTTTCAACCCATGTCCACTTTTGCGTGGCATAATCATGATAATTGGTAAGATCTGATTTGAGGCTTTTTTAGTGGCAAAGAGCACAACTGGGAAAAAGTTTGAATGTGAAGCGACCATCGCAAAAAAAGTGAGCGGCAATTACCGACACACCAACCAGAGGTTGTTAAGTTGATGTTGGCGCTTTTGGACGGAATATGATAGTTTGGAAAATGTGATTCAGACAATTCTTGATACAAGCGTGGTCACTTTTGTTTGTTGTTACAGACGTGACCAAGACAAACCGCCATCTTGAAAATGGTAAGAAATTATTTTTTGGGAAGCAGTATTTTACTCGGCATCATCTACCAGTAGCAACAAATAGAAACAGTCACAAAATTGCAAAGGTTTTTGTCACCAGATATTTAAAGATAATCCTTTTTGTTTATAAGATATACATGTATTGAAGATATTTTATCTTATTAGTCGTAATGGCGATATATATATTTCATTCTACCCCCAGCCTTTTTCCGTGTAAACAGTCACGTTGCATAAACAAATACACACCGTCGATATCGGAGTTTTCAGTAATCGATATATCCAATATCAAGAATATCCGATATATCGATCATCCCATGTAAAAGTTAAAGACCATAAAGATGACACTTTGATTTAAAAAAAAAAAAAAAAAAAAAATTAGTCCCAACTTTCCAGGGCCTTCTCTGGAGCATAATTGCTCAAACTTTTTAGACAAATCTCAGAGTTTGTCCAGAACGGGCGGTTTCTTTTGAGGCTTTACATTGGGGAGACCACGAATTCCAGCCAACGCAGAGCACTAAGGGGGCTTGGCATTTCGCGATGTGTTTATTTTGAGGCACAAGTTGCCACCGAGTTTTATTTCATTATACAGCAAACGTTAAACACAAAGTAAAAGCAAAAACTGTAGATTTTATTTTGACGATAATCTGACGCATTTTCGATATTTTTGATATCATTCCTCATTAAAAATTTGGATATTTCAATATGATTAAAAAAACTTTGGCGATATCGATGTCAAAAGAATATTGAATAATCGAGTGATATCGATATATCGACAGTGCCTATAAACAAACTTAATTTTAATCTCTGTTTTTTTTTCATGCAGTGTATAACAGACTCAACACAGCGATACACAATGTTCTTGTTAGGGCGTCCTCTTCTTTTTCTACAGACTCTTTGTATACATGTACGCAAAACTATTTTATATACTTGATGTCAACCTTATCGATTTTCGTGCACTCCTCCCCTTTTATAGTATTCGTCCTTTCACTCCGTCACACATCGTTCAAATCATGTGAAATTCAGCCTCCATCACTAGATTATCATTCATGATGCGACATGTTACCCCACCAATTTCTGTCACGTGACCAGTCATGTGACATATGCCACCAGTCATGTGAGTCATTAACCTGGTTTTTTTTTTACATCGTAATTACTTTGGTTTATTCATGCCGACATTAATAATAATAATAATAATAATAATAACGAAGTCTTATATAGCGCACGCATCTACCAACAGTTAGGTACTCAAAGCGCTGGTAATTATGTCTATTTTGAAAGACAGGTAATTGAAGTTTCTGAGAAATATGAGACCCATTATGTAGCACCTTTTTAAGGGTTAATTTTAAGGGTTTACAAGGTAATTGAATGTATACATTATAAGTAGTAAAATTAATGTGCAAGGAAAAATAAGTCATAAATTAAATTTGGATGAACTTATTTTAAGATGGATTCACTGAAGCGTCAGCATAGGGGTCAGGAGAAGCCAAGGGCTTTTATTCCTTCCCCTATCCCATTTCCTATATCCCCCGTATTATAGTCACAACCTTGCTGCATTATTTAAGTTGCGACTTGCCAAAAAATAAAAGGTCATGTTCCATCTCTTAGCCAGGGCTATGGCTAGGCATTTGTCATGTAATGTGGGCACAGGCTGAGAAAAGATGTAGCCACAGCTCTGGCCAAGTTCGCGCAAGGGCTATAGTTGACCAATGGTTAACCATAGTTCGACTAACGCTTGCCCGAACTCTGTCTAGTCGACGGTGGTTGACTACGCTAGTCGACTATTTGGAACCAACCTACTGGGGCTGGTTGCATCGCTGGTAACCAATAGCCGCGCGCATTCATAACGCTAGCAGAGAGCCAGGATCCAGAAGTTTTGCGATGACATTTTGACCAGCGTTTGACTAGAGACGTTCGCACGTTGCTATCAGTGCGCAGGCGTAAGGTACGTCACAAATCAACCACTAGTCGACTAATGGTGCTTGCCCGAACTTGGCCTCTGTACTCTGTTTGACAATAGCCAAAGTTTATAATATTTTTAATGGCTCAATTAATGTCATGGGGCTCAAAGAAGTCGAGAGTTTCTTGACATTAACCGTCCTGCTATTTAAACAGTCACAGACAGTCAAAATATTCACCTCCACTTGCCCTGCTATATTTTTAACAATTTAGGCTAGTCACCAGCAGTCAGATCATATTATGTCAAGCAAACACTGTGACTAGTCAAACTGGGTCAACAGACAAAGCAGGCAAGTTGTGGTCACAGCTGTTTTGTCACTCAACCAGAGTCGAAGCATAGCTGTATCAAGTTGCTTAATCAGTCCCAGCCAGTCAATCCTGCTTTATGTAGGCTGGGAATTCTTACCTGTTGAAAACAGTCACTTGTTTGATTTTGACTGAAAGGACTACCTGGCACAGAATGTATGTTTGCATTGAAGGGTTAAAATGGTAAATGCATTTTGAGCGAACTGATAATGATGAAAATTTGTGATTGATTATATTAATGAAATATCTCTTAAACTGTTTTGCCATCAACAGTTCTGGTTGTCAAATTTGTAAATTATAAGACTAAGCTGTAAATACTAAAACACAAAATGAACATTCTATCAAATCATGCAAATTGATTTTTGAGTTTTATATTTGATTGCAGAGAAGGTGAAATAAGTTTTCTTTTGGTACGCCTTGACCATCCGTGGGATGGTACTTTAATATTATTTTTTATCTATTTGGTTTATAAAGCGCTTTTTCACCAGCAAGAAGTGCGGATTAATAAAGAAAGACATGTAGTCTTGTCATTACATTTAGATGTTGTCTGTAACGCAAACCTTAATTACCGAATGTCCCGTCAATGAATTCTTTACAACTTCCAGATGATAATTTGGAGTTTGTCAAAACTTGGTTGTCTCCAGCAGCTAGCTGGCCTCAGGTGAGGCTTCAAGATTGGAGGCCAAGGACACGCCGGCTCTGGCTCAGTATTATATCAATGTTGCGATTCAGGAACATCAACTCCAGACTAAGGGACCATTCGAAATGGTACGCATATGGTATACGTATCTTCAGCAGCTGGCCTCGGGTGAAGCTTCAAGATTTTAGGCCAAGGACACGCCGGCTCTGGCTCAGTATTATATCAATGTTGCGATTCAGGAACATCAACTACAGACTAAGGGACCATTCGAAATGGTACGCATACGGGATACATGTATGGCTGAGGAAAAACACGTCTATTAGGCCCCCCAAAAAAGTCTCCGGTTTCTGGTATGCGCGCGCGTCGCCGTAGCCATGCGCGTCGGCAAAATGAAAAAGTTTTTTTTTCAATGAAAGATGATGTCTCAAAACCGCCAAACTCACTGGTTTGACTGGAATTCTGCTGCTCCACAATTTTAACGTGTTTTTAGATGGGGTTATGATCGAGAATAAGCTTTATGTGGCCTCTCTGGTCTCCCATAATATTTGCACTAAGTTTAGTCGGGCACCATTTGCAGACATCAGCCGACATTTGAAGCAAAAAAAACCAGATAAAAAAAAAAAAAAAGCCGCGTCGCCACACCACTTTTTGGGCAAGCTCCATACCAAAAACCGGAGACTTTTTTTTTGTGGCCTTGACGCCGGTATTGTTTGGCCACGGACAGCTGCACATCGGCTGGAAAGTGTACGTGCAGGCATTTGTCCGTTGTCCATGAATGGACGTGCTATGCAGCAGGAATGCAGCAATAGCAGTCCCCCGGCTTATCAGCTTTTATGAGCTGTGCCTAGAGGCATCAGCCGGCGTTAAGGGGTTCAATCACCTTTAAATATATGTAACCCGTATGCGTACCATTTCTAATGGTCCATATGGGCCTTATTCACGAGTCGGCCATATTGGATTGAAAGTTAGGTAAAATCTTAATTTTTTTTAACTTGCGAAGAGAAATGAAAGCAACTTCTTTTTATATTAAATTCCAGTCTGCTTCAATGAATAATTTAAAATTTGTAATTAAACATTCCCCAATATTTCTATCATATTTAACAAAAAAAATGACAGTAAAATAAGGCTGCATTGTGCCTGCATAAATAGTCTGGCGCCATCCCATTACACAGTTAACAATTAATGAAATACATTCAGGGAACTCGACAAAAATGGCCAACTCGTGAATAAGGCCCATTGCCAGAAACTAGGAATGCTTTCCATTTGGTTCGAATGTAAAGATAAAAAATTTTCTGGAGAAAGACCAGGAAGTTTTGAATCTGTGAAATCTGGCATGTCTCCCTCATATGGACCCTCAGCCTCACACACATCTGTGACCGTGACGTCAGTGAGTTCATATTTCGTAGCAGTCCAATTTCCACAATTTCAGGAAAAAAAATTAAAGGACAAAATAACAACTGAAGAGCAATCAGACAGAGCCATACTTTGTTCAACGCCAACTTTAATTAAGCTCTAGAAACTGATAGAAATGTACATGTATGCACATACAACCCCCATTTGCTGGTAACAACAGATATGTTAATCAGATAATGTACACTGAACAGCTTTACAGATTAGGTAAATGTGATTTGAAAACAGGATATTTTTTACTCTGTCAACTTGAGTATACTCTCTGATCAGTAAAAAGGTGTAAAAAAAATCTTTCCCAATTTTTTCAACAAGGTAATCAATACCTAACACTGATTTAAATCGAATTAACCAGTTTGCACCCGAGGCCATGTATACCATGTGCATGCAAAAGATTTGCGGTATTCGGAACGGATGACAGATAAACATGCAAGGAGCAAGCCGGAAGTATCTGTTAGCGACCCGCTCGCAGCGAGCCAGGCCGGAAATATGAGTGTGCTGCCCAAGGGTAATGGCTCCACCCGCCTGGCTTGAGGTCGAGTGAAAAGTAATCCCGCGCCTCGTTCCCTTCTTGTCAAAATAATCCTGGCGTGCACTGGTTAATTTCTAAACGTTTCATCAGTATAAATCCAAACAAATGGGATAACAAACCAAGAGGTAATTTTTGAACGCCAACTCTTGGCATGATTTTGGGCATCTACTTTTCATACACAAAAATATGAAAATCATATTAACCTTAACTCCCTAAGCCTTTTTGCTAGAATGTAGCCTCAATCCTGCACTTGGCCTCATGGAAAAATAGCATATAGCCTCAATCCTGCAAATTCCTCTATTATTTCTTGAATATGGTCCATGGAGGGGTGACCACTGCCTGAATCCTGCAAATTCCTGCGGCAGTGACTGTCAATATGTTGAGGCTTGGCCAGTGACATCCTGGAGCAGTACAGAGGATTTCAAGCATAATCCAGGCCTACATTTATGCACGGCTGAGCAAAAACAACATAAGGTCTGGCCCAAGACCTTGACAAAGTGCATCCTACGAAATAAGTAACACACTTTTGCCATGAAACCTCAATCCTCCAAATTTCCTCCACTTTGGCAAAGAGGATTTTGAAGGATTCAGGGCGGTTTGGGTTAAAGAAAGAGATTGTGACCGACCAACATGTCTTACTTTAAACAATCCACAAGCTGGCAAAAGATATTGAAATTCATCAGAATGAAACACAAGTCGAAGAAACAATGTCAAAATAACTTACAAATTCAACACCACTTAGATGCATAAATAAAATACATTTGGAATAATGACATTTGGGCATAAATTAAGTGACCAAGATGCATTCCATACAATGTTTAATAAATACAGTCTGGGGTCAAATTTAATGACACATTTGTATTTCTGATGATACAATCTGCAAATGAAAAGATTGATCAGTCGACATCTCAATAAATAAATCTGGTGATATATTTTGGTTTATTTTAACTGGGACCATTTTAAGTGCTGCTTACCACGGAAATGCATCTTACCATATGTCTTCCATGCCGTACAATGTATATCACTTAGTTGGTTTTGACTGATTATGCTAAGCATATAAAAAGCATATCAATTTGTTAAGCGATATTTTTGGCTTAGGGTCATGAAATCGGGCTCAGGTTCTGCAAGTCGTTGGTTGATCATGACCTATTTGTGGCAAATCAAATTACAAATTATATAAATATTGAGTGGCTCAGTGTGGAATGGGAGGAATATTATTGCAAGGTAAAATCTGGACTTTTCCATTTCACGAGGCGAAGCCGAGTGAACTGGAAAAGTCCAGATTTTACCGAGCGATAATATTCTTCCCCTTTCACAATTGAAAGTCACTCAATATTTGTTTTATATAACTGACATATAGATCCTTGTCATTTGATATATTTGAACTTTTATTTTCTTCTCTCTTCCAAACCCCCCCCTTCACAAAAATGTTTGAACCCAACGCTGTAGCGCTGGCTCTTTGGAACAATACGCGCTACGCCACGCAACGCTGAAAGCGCACACCAGCATGCCTTTGCACACAAATACCGCGTCATGGAACAAGAATGATCCTAGCTGTTCAATAGTATTTCCCATTCCCCATGGGCGAATGGGACTTTTTGAGCCCCGGCGTGAATGGGAGCAATAATGAATGTCACGTGATGTGATTTCAACCAATCAAATGACAAGGATCTGTATATTGGTTATATAAATATAAATAATAAATGTTTACGAGTGCAATGGTAAGAATAAGTTCATCAGGTGACTAATGGGATGTTCCATTAAACGAGACGAGGAGAAACCGAGTGGAATGGAACATTCCATCTGTCGTCTCATAGTAACGACTATCCATTGGTGAAGCCTTCCAGATCCGGGCCTGACAATGCTTTCATTGCTCTCCAGTGAGCTTGTTGCTGGCTAGGTTGCATGGCCGGTTTGTAGTAGCGTGTATCCGTTAGTGAAGTCTTCCAGCTCCGGGCCTGACGGTGCTTTCGTTGCTCTCCAGTGAGCTTGTTGCTGGCTAGGTTGCATGGCCGGTTTGTAGTAGCGTGTATCCGTTGGTGAAGTCTTCCAGCTCCGGGCCTGACAGTGCTTTCGTTGCTCTCCAGTGAGCTTGTTGCTGGCTAGGTTGCATGGCCGGTTTGTAGTAGCGTGTATCCATTAGTGAAGTCTTCCAGCTCCGGGCCTGACAGTGCTTTCATTGCTCTCCAGTGAATCTGTGGGGCTCGCATGCTGTCCTTCTCCAGACGAATGAAGTCCAACCACAAGTCTGAAAACAAAAAAAACAAAAAACAAAAAAAAACAATATTGGTTTTGTGCAATATCAAATAATGCTTTGCATGTTCTCAGTACATGCACAACAAAAGGACCCGCTATTGAGAATAACCTTTTGTGTGCTTGTTTATGAAAACATTCTACAGTCATACAGCAGCACACAACTGCCAAAATAATGAGTTTATCATTTGCAGCTATCCAAAAAGAAACTGACAAAATTATTGTTGAAACAACCATACTTGGTATAATGATAGTAATGGCACTAAACTACCTCTAAAATTATTCTTTCTGGCATGCTGCCATTTTGAAGAAAACACTAAAAGAAGTTCATTCTAAATACGCATTTTAAAAAAAATTTCTATTAGTAGTTAGTTTTTAATTCGGCGAAACTGTGAATGGTAGCGTGCAAGCATTGACATGACGCACACGCGTTTGCTCTTATCTGTCGGTTCAGTGCCTGACATCGTGCAGCTGCAATCGGCTCAATGACAACGTGTCCTGGATGCTGAATTCGCTGAAAACATGACTTCGCAACTTTTGGATTGAATCGAGATCCTAGAACATTTTTCTCTCGGAATATACAGCATTCACTGAGCTAAAAGTTCATCAGGTTAGTAATTCAGCACCCTTCTTTAGTTTTGAGCACTTTTGTTGCTTCAAATGAAAAAAATGCACAAATGACAATGCCAACTCTACCTTTAAAACAACACAAGTAGGTCTCCGGTCAATCTCTTTTTTTTTCCAAAATGTTCCGCGGTAGCTCCAACAGCGCCCTCTATTGCCGCACCTCCTCAAATTTTTTTACCAAAGAGCACCAAGGAATGGGAAATTGCACCAAGGCAAATGATCGAGAGCACCAAGGCAAATTATTGAGGACACCAATGTACACGAGGACACCAAATAGCAAAATAGTACCCCACCTTTTCTGTACAATCCAAGCTTGAAAAAAAAAAAAAAAAGCGTCCCCGCGTCAATTCCGGAACTTTGGTGTGACCAGAGACCGAATATTTTTTTGTTTTGGCCTAATAAGCAGAATGGCATTGGTTCAAGTTACCAACTGAGTGCATTTGTTAAGTGCTTCTCGCAAGCCATGCAAGCTCTTGGAAAGCCTGACCATGGTGTTCATACACATGAAATGATGGGCAAAATTCAAAATCAAAGTTTACATCACGCTGGTATAAAACTCCCCATGAAACAGAAAGCTTGTCTTACAAATAAAGCTCAATTTTCAATGGCAAAACAGTATTTGTGATGTGATTAAGCTAAATGCGTCGCCTGTCGACCCTAGTCAATTTTTTTATATAGATCTGAAAAGGGCACAATCTCAGCATTGCTGCTGTGAAAACAGAAGCCGCATGCTGGTACCATCTGTAGTTAAAAAAATATGGAAGTTGGAACACCAAGAGATGTGATGAAGTGATGTGATGAAGTGGCCCTATTTTGGCCTGGATCTCCAAATAAAAGTTCCTGACAAACGACTCATTTAGTGTGATCATATCACATTTTTAAACATGTTTCAGATAGGATATCACTCATGTCTTCTGGAATTACTGTAACATAAGTCAACATACCTGGTCTGGATGAGCCAAATTCTGCCAATGCGTCTTCATAGCAGCGCCGTATCTTAGTCATGTTGGGTTCCAACTGGGCCTGCTCTATGGAGATGTACTGCTTGAAGAAATCCACAGACAGCGGTCTCTCCTTCAACAATCTATTGGCAAAGAAATCCACGAACAAGTGACTAGGATCCACTTTCATTGTTCTGTTTACTACTAATAATACCGGAGTCTTATATAGTGCACGTATCTACCAATAATTAGGTACTCAAGGCGCTGGTAATTATGTCTATGTTTCAAGACAGGTAAATGAAGTTTATGAGGAGTATGAGACCCATCATGTAGCACCTTTATTAGGGTATACTAGGTGCTGCGGCACATGTTGCAGCCACTGCCAGAAACACCGGGGCAAACCCCTTCTCTTAGCGATAAGTGTTACTGGGTTCTTTAACGTGCATTACACAACACACGGGACCTACAGCTTTACGTCCCATCCGAAGGACAAAGCAATAATGGTAAAGTGCCTTGCTCAAGAGCACAAGCACCATGTACCCAATCAGGATTCGAACCCATGTACCACGGCACACGAGTCGAACACCGTAACCACTGGACCACAGCACCCCACTACTCCATGCAAAGAATCATTGCCAACAGAAAATTCTACAGACTAAACAGTCACCACATTTCATGGGTTGTATGAAGGAATTTTGCCTGTTGCCTTTTGCGCATGCATGCATCCGATAACTACAGTTCTGCACGTCAGATGTGTAGGGTGTAGTGGACATGTGGTGCGTACTGGGCAATGTGGCGCAGAACGCAGCTGTGTTTTACCGGCAGTTTAAAACCACTCATGTGACGAGCCCTCGACCAACAGGAATGGGTAAACTGTCGCAGGTATGTATGAATAATTGATAAAAGACCAACCTCTTGTAGATCTTTCTGGCTTTGCTGAGATCCTTGTTGATAGCTGCCCATTGTAAGTAGAGTGTCTTCATGGGTGTTGAGACAACAGCTGGCTCCTTGATTGCAGCCTAAACCATCAAGAATTAAATAATGTGTTACAATTAATGTAGGTCTTTTCTGGTCATGACAATGCAAGACTCAAATGGCGATGTCCTTCAGTTTTTAGGGACGGGTAAACCAACTGCATTTGCAAAGGCCATAACCGAGTTATTTTTACAATTTATTAACAATGTTTTTTATAAATTCACACTTTATTCAATTTTATAAATTCACACTTTATTTAAATTTACTATCTTTATCGTGGATACAAATCATTATTAACCAATAGGGCTTGCTCAATGATGGCCATCTCTGTAGGAGAACTGCAACTGCGTATTTTACGCAATCAAGCACGCATTGCGCAGTGTTGAAAATGTTCCAAACACACGCTTGGTGCTTGAAATGTGTTCGAAACACAACGCAGCCGATGCGCGTTATGCAAGTTGACGCTCAAAATGCCAATGCACGTGGATGGTCTGTAGGAAATGATGTCATTTGAACGAGACCTATAAGCCTCGTTCTAGTAATACTCTCGGAAGTCACGGTTGTTCTTGGATTTGCTCGGAACACTGTCATGTTATAGTTGTAGAGTACCTTGAATATCTCCTGTACGTTGTCAGAGTTCATGATGAGGCACCAGTCTAGACCCAATCTCCACAGTGGCAGTGCATGCTGTATAGATCAACCACAACAAGCAATAATGTCAACCATTCTATCAGTGTGTGTGTGTGTGTGTGTTTGGCATTTATTACATGTAATCATGGTCACTTGCTTACGTTATATCCGTTTTGATTGGGACTTCGTTGGTGGGGAAACTTGTGTTTTATGGTAAAAGTTGCAGAACCTGATAAAATGAGGGTTGGGTGTATGCTTGAGTGTTCTTCTTCCATTATAAAGGGTGTCTCAAAAAAAAAGTTATCCTACTTTAAAGGGTTATTATGGCTAGACTATATGTTTACAAGCAAGAAGCATGGTATCATCTTAAAGGCGAAGCTTTGTGCTTTTTAATGATACCTTGGGGCGTTTTCGAATCCCTGTTCTTGACAACACGCGGGTAACACGAGAACGTATTCTCGAGCTGGTTGTTACGAACGCGCGGATGCGTGTCGCATCGATATAAAGCAATGCAAAATGGCCGACAATCGTCTGAATTTGTTCTTAGGCCTATTCCAAATGAACGAGGACGACTGTTGCAAAACCGGACATGCGGGGATGAAATTGCATACCTGCACTATAATGGTATTCTTATTCCCATCATTAGGGTATTAGCAACAAAAAAAACACCACAAAACAATTTACGAATCTGCACAGTCCGCCATTTTGTTCAAGCTGCACCTCGCCGAACCCTCCATCAACCGGGGAGTGAAAAAATCGATCCGCGAACGCCCTCTCGGGTCCGTTCGTCACGTTCGAGACCGCTGTTCTCGTGTCGGGTTAACCCGAGTGTTGTCAAGAACAGGGATTCGAAAACGCCCATGGGTTACATTCCAGGGTCACGCATCACGGAGCACCATTGTCTTGAAGTTGTGGCGCAAAAATGCAGTTGGTTCACTTCTGAACCTATGTCATTCTGGCCTTCAGACAGTATATAAACAATGGTTCAGCTAACGGCAGAACAGAGAATCTTTGTGGTCAAGAAATTGCATGAAACCAGAAGTTTGCAGGCTACACAGGATGTCTTTGGAGAAGCATTCCCAGACTTCTGCTGTTTAGTGTTTTACTCATGATCGTAAATAAAATCCATAAATAAAAAAACATTAATCTGTGTCGATTGTGTTCAGCTGGAAAGTGAACCAACTGCATTTTTACACCACAACTTCAAGACAAGGGTGCTCCATGATGCGTGACCCTTGAATGTAACCTAAGGTATCATTGAAAAGCACACAGTTTCAGCTTTTAAGATGATACCATGCTTTCTGCTGGTAAACATACTGTCTGGCCATAATAACCCTTTAAAGTAGGATTACCATTTTTTTTTTTAGACACGCGTACTGCGGCTACTTGCCAGTATAAACGTTCCTCAAACTATGACAGCGCTCACCTTGGCTTTGACAAAGGAGATTGCACTGTCAAAGAGTTGGGACACCTCAGCCTGCTGATTCTCCCTGCCTGTATGCACGAGAGAAGTGGTATGCAGCATGGATGGGAAATACGATTGCAAAACAGAGTTGTAATAAGCCATTTGCGATTTAAGTTTGAATAAAATCTGGAATGTTGTCTTAACGGTATAGTTGTAATTTGTGCATTTTGCTCGTTTGAAGCAACAAAAGTGCTCAAAATATAAAGAAGGGTGCTGAACAACTAACCTGATGAAGTTTCAGCTCAGCTTCAGCTGTATATTTGGAGAAAAACAACATTCTAGGATCTCGATTTCAAATCAAAAGTTGCAGAATCATGTTTTGAATTGGGCCTGAATTCAGCGTCCGAGACACGTTCTCACTGAGCTGATTGCAGCTACGCAATGTCGCGCACCGATCCGACGAATTATAGCAACCACGAGCGCGTGTGCGCCTTGTCAACGCTTGCGCGCGCTTCGCCGAATAAAAAAACAAACTCGATTATAACGGAAATTTCCAACGGTGCTTCTTAAGACACACTGTTGGAAAGGCCTTCTTTTGCCGATTTCTTCAAAATGACAGCTTGCCAGAAAGAAAAATTTCACAGGGAGTTTAGTCCCCTTACTATATTTCAACCAAGTATGTTTTTCAACAATAATTACCCCAGTTATTTTTTGGATAGCTGCAAATGATGGACTCTGGCTTAAATCCAATGCTTTGCACGTTTTAACTTTGCATTCTCCCGACCAAAGAGACTGTGACTACATCACGTGATTCGGGGCACGCCTTATGCTAGCAACCCCCAGCTCCTGCATGGTCTGGTGTCTTTGTGCCATTCTCACCCATTGTGAACAATGTATTGGTGCTGAGCGTCTCTTACGTAACTATGCAAGAGCTTGCCCCGAATCATGTGATTAGCAACAGTGTCTTTGGTCTGGAGAATTCAAAGTTAAAATGTGCCAAGCATTCTGAGCAAGTCAGTGTACCTGATGTTTTTCGAATTTTAAAGGGTATAGGTCACTCGCAAATGGCTTATTTTAGTCAAATCAAGTCAAATCACAAAGTCCTATCAAGTCAAATCACAAAGTCCTATCAAGTCAAATCACAAAGTCCTATCAAGTCAAATCACAAAGTCTTACCAAGTCAAATCACAAATAACAAGGGATGAACAAATGACAATTAAAGGAATGCATTTGTCGCCGTTTATTTGAAAAGCTCTGGACTATTTTGAGGATTGATGACTTGTAATGCACTTGAGACTGATTTGGTTTACAACTTTGCCACAAGATGTGCTGTCCACAAAACGTCTGCCTAAAACAGTGGGTCTTTGTCTAAGTTTGTTCACAGCCACAGTATCATTTGATATTATACAACACCTAATTAAATCCCCGCCATCTGATTGGTGGATCGTTGATCACATGTCATTGAATTATTCGTGCCAACGTACGGCGCACGCGTGGCGCACAGCGCACAGTGCAACGGAAGTTCTATTGCACGGTGAATAGAACTTCCATTGCACGGTGTCACTGCTGCTGGTGGTGGCGCTGTTTTAAATCCAGATAAATTGAATATGATGGTTCTCAACCTGTTGAACAGTTTGCATTAATATAAATATGATGAACTTGTCAAACTTTTAAACAGTTTTCAACCTGAATAAATTTGCCATTAAAAGTCAACCAATCAGATGACAAGGATTTATTCAGGTGTTATATAAAACAAATAATGAATGTTTCACGTTCGTGCAATGGAAAGAATAATTTCATTCGGTGACAGATGAAATGTTCCATTCCACGAGGCGAACATTTCATCTGTCACCTCATGAAATGATTCTTACCATTGCACTCACAAACATTCATGATTTGATACTATGACGCTGCATTGCCGCATGCTTGTACAGCAATTATCAATACATCAATGTATACTGAGTGCAGGCGACATTGAGAATATTACCTATTCCAGAGTCTTGCATGGATAATTTCAGGCATCCTTCCCAGACTCTGGCCGAGTGGTGGTGGGCAATGATAGCTGATGCTGCTACGTCCTTCGCTTCATCTATTTGACCCACGTTTTGAAGGACATTCATCTGGTAATAAAACAAATATCAAAGGTAAATTTGGTCTGCAAGCAAAACAGGTCGAGAGAAGTGGGTCTAAGAAACCCTCCCCCCCCCAAAAAAAAATATGGGAGACATTTCGATGCACAAAGTGCAGTGTTCTTTTAGCTCTAAATTTAAGATTTAAGTGGCATGAAAAATTAGTAAGTGCATAGAGGATGATTATCAGATACTCCATTGTGCGCATAAAGACAATGCCATAAACACATTAACACAATTTTTTTTCTTATTAAAGGAAATATACAACATTTGCTTTAGGCCAAAAAAAAAGTCTCCGGTTTCTGTTATGGAGCTTGCCCAAAAAGTGGTGCGGCGACGCGGCTTTTTTTTTTTGCTTCAAATGTCGGCTGATGACTGCAAATGGTGCCCGACTAAACCTAGTGCAAATATATGGGAGTCCGGAGAGGCCACATAAAGCTTATTCTCGATCATAACCCCATCTGAAAACACGTTAAAATTGTGCAGCAGCAGGATTCCAGTCAAACCAGTGAGTTTGGCGGTTTTGAGACATCATCTTTTATTGAAAAAAAAAACTTTTTCATTTTGCCGACGTGCATGGCTACAGCGACGCGCACGCATACCAGAAACCGGAGACTTTTTTTTTTGGCCTTAGCTTTAATTTTCAGACATCGATGGATTTGGAGGGGTTAGCTTTTAAAAGCAAATATTGTTAAACTGACTTGTTTGAAGTTTGGGGTTCGTAGATGCTGGAAAATCAAGAAAAACAATCATTTTCTTGTAGTCTGGTTTCCTGGCCCTACTTAACTTGAAACGGAGCAATTTATAGACGTCTGGGAATTGTAAGGTCAGGAAATCAGTCTAGCTGGCTTGTTCCCGTTTACAGGTGTGTGATCGATTGCAAAAAAATGCGAACTAACTAAATATGATAATTTGGGAGCAGTATTTAAAAAAAAAAGCCAATTTTTTCCAACGCTGGTCAGCTGACCAGCATTGGAAATCGATACAAAAATACCAATCTTCTTGAACATGTCAGCACACCAGGTGCCGTGATTTTACAGGATGCTTTAGCCAGTCATTCACTAAAAAGGTTTTTCGTGATAATTTGGTAGTTTTGTTTTTTGATGTTTGCAAATGTTGTATATTCCCTTTAAATGAAGCTTGCCTGCCTAAAAACACAGTAAAGTTGATAACTTTTTTTCAGAAATTAGTACCATTCATAGCACATGTTTGGAATATTGGTGTGGAAATCTTTTTTTTTGTTTTGTTAAATCTGAATCCAGAGTTTTGAAACTGGCAGGGAGAGTTACATATCTTGTTGGCTACTTTGTTAGCACAGCACGAGATGCACAACACAAATCCTGTCAGAAAAAGAGAGAAAATACGCATACCCATTTCAAATACAGGTCCTCTGTCAATGAACATTTTGTATTGGCCGCTGAAAAGACTTGCAAGGCTTTCTCAGCTCGCTGTGAAAACAAAGGAAAGAAATGCATATTTGATCAGGATCATCGACTCAGTGATGATAATTAGATTAATTTTGTCGCACACAAATACAGGGAAGAGTATGACCATGTAGTGAGACGCCCACTCCTTCAAGCTAACTACTAGTACAATTTTAGTTGGCCGATTTAAATCCAATCAATGATGCAGAGTTGTAATGGTTCGAGTCCATGACTCGACTCGAATCCGACTCGAGTCACAATTTTTGGTGACTTGTCTCGACTTGGGTCCCTACGGGTAAATGACTCGACTCAACTTGAGTCACTGCAAGCAAATGACTCGACTCGACTCGAGTCCCTCACCAGAAGACTCGACTCGACTCAAGCGAAGGCTAATAAGACTCAAGTCCCAAAAATAAAAGCGAAATATTTGCAATGACTTACGGTGCAAAATATGTTCACGTCACTTTACGAATACAATACGCTTGTCATGAAAAGGCATACAACGTGTCACAGACTCTCACCTTGTGGTTCTGGAACGCACAAACTACTATTCCGGAACCAGACTAAAATCCTTTCACCTTCGATCGTACGAATTCGTACAATATAAATATGCATTGCGAAACTCAACTTATGGATGCCTTCATTTAGCTCACCCGGATCGACCTGGGTAAAGGCAGACGGGTTAGCCACAGGTTTTGCCCGCTGCTGGCTCCTAAAACCTCAAATGAATAAACAAAATTCTGGATTTCATGATTTGTGGGTCACAACCTTTTATCAAAGGAAAACAATTCTAGACCCAAAGCCAAACCAGAAGGTTAACTTCTTGTTAATTGTTAGTGATACAAATTAATTTCTCTGTTGTCTTTTTGTTATTATAGTTTTCAAATATTCCTGACTCGAATTAACTCAAGCTAAATATAAAACTCCACTTGACTCGACTACACACTGTGACTCGACTCGACCTTCTTGACCTAATGACTCGACTTGACTCGACTCACTTCTTTAAAATGACTCGAGTCACAAAAATCACTGACTCATTACAACTCTGATCTGATGTCACCAGGACCTAGTGGTGTGCATTTCAAGGTAGTACAGGAACGAGGAAACGGGTACCCCACTGAAGTAAAACAAGGTACCTAATACATCCTGGAAGTTGTCTGAGGACTTTATCCGCTCCGTTCACAAGTACCCCCTCACCGGCAAAGGAAGTACAGTTGGGGGTGACCGACCGACGCCATCTTGCCTGACTGCAATTCATTTGCCGCGAAGCGCTGCCACTGCGTGTACATAGCACAAATCCCCTGGTGTACGTGCGACACACACAAGGAACGATGCGCGTCAACCAGTTAAATGTCCTGCCCATGAGAGTCGTTGTTAGGTAAAAGGGCGCCCTCTTTTGTTAGCGCACGGAGCTCATAGGTTTACTAGGTGAAAACTGCACCTTTCAGCGTCAACTGTTGCTTGTTAACATGCACATAACATTAAATCTGTTTTGTTTTCCCATGAAGTTCTCGGCTGAGTTTTGGTAAGCAATTTTTTGGGGGTTCTTGTTTCTACCATAAAGCAGATATTTCTTGCACATAAAAAATGTCTGTGCTTAGCCGCTTTGTGAATCTGACCCTACCTTGTCGCTGATGTCCCCAGCCCCTCCAAGCTGTAGTCTCTCAATGCAGCAGTCAATGTACAGACTCCACATCTTGGTGGTTGGTAGTCTCTCTACAGCCGTTTCGTACACCTCATAAGACTGCATCTCTTCCGCAAGCTGGATTGACTCTGACTCTGCTCAAGATAAAAATTGAGTAAATTACCTTTGTTACTCTATAACTGAGCTATCCAGCCCTATGTTGGTTGTAGAATACAAGTTGATGGTAAGTCAAAGGTTCAAATCACACTACAGTCAATTTCTTTGGTCAACTTGATGTTGATCTATTTTTAATGATGATTTTCCTTTTTTGTACAAAAACTGAATATCATACAAGTACTTCAAAATCGAAGCGATCTGTCCTAAACATTAAATTATTCATTATATAATTGAAAATGAAAAAGATTCACAATTACCATTGCTGTGAGCTGTAAGATGTCGTCTAGCAACAGCATCCCACATGAGTTCATTATTCGGGTGAGCTTCCATCAAGCTGTATGTAACAAGGCAAAGATAAGAAAGGATTACGAACTCATCATCTGAAAAAAGAACCTTGAGTAGCAACCAACGTTTCAATATACAGCAAATGTATCAGAGTGGGGATTCCAATCCTAATCTTCCAACTTGGCACTTACTCTTGATATATCTCTTGTACCAGATCTGTTGTAAAATCAAACTTCTTGCAGACAGGGACAAAAGCCAGGTGAAGATCTATGTCACCTGAGAAAAGAAGACAAATAATTTCACAAAATATTTTCAATATTACAGGCATCTCGGAAAGTGATGATGTATTACAGTGTGCGTTTGATGAGAGCTGATCAAATGTTTGCCTTGATTCTCCCCTAAATTGTCATTCATGCACAGAGCATTTACTGCTTTCACACATTACAGTTGCACCCCAATGTAAAAATTCCCATAGACACTAGTGTTGATTCCCCATACTTCAAAATTCTGTTAAAACTACTCAGAACTCTCACAGGTGTTCAGGCTGCACAGAAAAAAATGATGATCATCATGTCATCTTTTATTTTATTTTCGATTTTTGGTGGATTGACCATTGACTTTTGGGAGATATTCTCACCCAAAGAAGACCACCCCTAAAAGGACTGATGTTTCCAGATCTGGAAAAGTAGCCATTTTGAAAAAGGATCCCTCCACAACATGGCTAAGTAGTGCCACTTTTGGACCCAATTGCATCCAAAATGCTCAGAATTGGAAGCTCCAAGTCCAGGCCAGAGGTTCATTGCCATATGTCTTCAATTCCCCTATTCCATGGCTCTCCAAACTGTCTAATATAGAATAATCTGAGTGTATAACTTTTATTCATGAGCTCGGCGGATGGATTTTTGGCCTATTTACTGGGATTAACTCAACTTCGTCCCCAGTGCTTACTTTATTTCCAACCTCGTTTCCAATAGTAAGCCCTGGATAGGAAACTTTCTTCCTGTACCCCGACTCGTTATCGCAATTGGCTAAAAATGGAATGATATATTATGGTACTTGGTATTGTTATTTCCAACGTGCATTACATGTTTTCACGATCATTATAAATTATAACGTCCACGCCTTCTCAAAAATACTCCTTTCCTTTCCAATTTGCTCATATTAATATGAAATGTGATTTGGCGGGATAAGATTGTAACATTTTAACTTTGAAAACAATCGTGTTTTCGTAACCCATGGCGCGACGAATTGATCTTACCCCAGACACCGCATACAAAAACAAACGCTTTTGAAACGCACATGCAGGCACCAGACTATTCCTCATTTGCATACCTGTTCAAAAATTTATAAGGGTATACCCTTACCTGGCATTTCTTGGACGGCCATCTTGTAGACAACCCTGGCCACCTTGCCTTGTAGTATAGCATCCTCCATTCCTTCCTCTGTGGTCTCCATTTTGCTCTGCTGTAACAAGGCCCATCGCTTCCTTTGCTATTATCACAACAAAAAAGTCTAAGTATCCCCATGTATGTATTACCTCTTTTGGAGCTTTGTTAGGAGCTCAATCATCAAGCCTATTCATTGCAAAGCATGAACATAACAAATCCAACGTTTTTTTTCTTTTAAGAGCTCAGTGAATAAAACTAAAAATGTATTTTTCATATCTCATACATCCATAATCTAGTAATGGTCAAGGAGATTACAGACTAGGAGTTTGGATCATTTCTCTGAAACATTAATTAGATATCGTGGGTAATTGACCTATCGCTGTTTGCGAGTTAGCCACACCCCTTAGACAACCCTATGGAATTTTTGTACACCGTAAGTTTTGTTTGTCTCGGATTTTGCGCGCTCCGCGTCCATTTGTATATCATGTAATTGGACAATATTTCACAAGCTGCGTTGACGCGATTCTGACGCGATTCTAACGCGATTCTACCGCGATAGGTCAATTGGCTCCTTCAAGGACATTACATTTTTTTTCCATAATGCTAAAATTGCCCAGATGTAAAGTTTAATACCGCTAGTTCAGCACTTCCCAACAGCCTGGTACAAATCCCACCAAATATTCACTCCTGGCAACTATTCATCAACTGCTCTGTAAGATGAGAATCAGCCACTGACTATGTCATGTGGCCGGTTTTTAATATTGTACGTAGTTGGGAATCCTTATTGAGCAAGATTGTAAAACTTTTTCCTCACAGAAAAAGCACCAAGCATACTTATTAGTGATGCTAATTTCATGGAGAAAAAAATAGTGAATTTACCTTATCCGCATGCATCAGCTCCATCCGAAAATACTGTTAGAAAACAAGAAGAGACGAAACTTGTCAAATATAATACACACCCTTCCCTCACCCGCGAGTCTAGTCCGGGCATTGAGAAACAAAAATTTACAAACTAGCTTTGAAGGGACTCGAACCAATGACCCCCTGTCCACAAGCGCAAGCATTTATCTCCCGTTTCCTTGGCATGAAACGACTGAGAATATTTCTACTCCCCCTGGATGGAGTGCTAGTCCATCGCAGGTTACTCCCCAGCTCATGCCGGTACTTATTTGTACTCCTGGGTGGAGAGAGGCAAGTGGGGGTGAAGTGTCTTGCCCAAGGACACAACATATGGCCAGCAGCTGGATTTGAACCACTGACCCTCTGATCTTGAGACACGAACCTAACCCCTTGGCCACACTACCTCAGAGGAATTAAAAAGTTACACAAAGTGGTTAAAAAGTTACACAAATGAAGGGTAAAACCCAATATCAAACTTTACATATCCCTTCCCCAAACTTCCATCATAGAGGAAGTGGATTAATTAGAACATACCTCAACTCTGAGTTTGTGGTTCTGTGGATGGAGCCTGATGGCTCGTAGCAATAGACTCCTGGCATTCTCAGCTGACATGATTTCCTCCATCTGGAACTTGGCTGCTATGATCCACAATGCTGCAAAACAAAATTGACCACAGTTGAGTGTGACAATTTTAGACTCACGCTATAAAAAGAGAACATCAATTCTATCATTTATAAATTACGAAAAGCTACACGGGGGGACGCGGTCGAGCAACTCACACCACACATACACCGTTACTTCTTAGTATAGCGGTGATAGAGGGCACGGAGACAATTAAATTGCTGGAGAAAAGAATGACTGCAGTACGATGTATATATAAAGTTAGAATGATGTCTCACCAGGGTTTTTGGAGTGCACCTTGAGTAGCCTTGCAAACAATTTACTCAACTCGTTCTTCATGTTCTGTCAAGCGAGAGGAATCAAGTTTTGTTAAAGCACACAAACTGGATACAGACTAAAAACAGTTTTAGAAAATTATGATTCAGAAAATAATAACTGCACTCCCTCTCAAACAATAACTTAGTCCCAAAATAAAGGAAAAACCTTATGATTTATTTCTGCCCGCCAACACAGTTTTTGGGGGAAAATGTTGCAACCTGACACCACTTTTCTCTTCATATATATCATCTCAAAGAAGGTCAGTCATTGCAAAAATGTTGAAAACGGGACTGAAACATGTCCAATTTTGTTTGGAAATACTTCGAAAATGTTCTTGACTCTCCATAGACTTTGTACACGACCGCTGATGTGGCGTCTGGATACTACAATCTTTCCCACTTTTCCTTCAAGTCATTCAGTCAGTATCTGGTGCTGTATGTGATTTGAACGGGTTAGCCAACTCTAGCCTGATCATATGGTCGAGTGGTTAGATGTCCGCACTAGTAAAAAAGAGGTCATGGGTTCAAGTCCCACCCAAGCAATTTCTTGAATATCTTCCCGAAGGCTCTCGGACAGAACCACGAATGAATTGCTTTAAAATAAATGTACAGTGAAGGGGAAACCGCAGACTGGGACATTGAGTGGAGAAAAACATTCAAAACAAGATCAGGCCAACTTTCTACAAAATTTTCATGGGGGCAAAGACATAGTCCTCAGTGTTTGACCAGTCAAGCTTGAGGTCTCACTTCAATTTTTAAAGGAGACTTTTCTTTGACAATTTGTACCCGAGAGTGACGCCAAGTGATTTCAAATTGAAGCTAAAAACTAGACTGGTGCATGTCCAACTTCTGGCAAAGATTGACCCTTCATTAGTCTGGTGGCATGACCATAGAAAATGTGCAGAAATAGAGCTGGGTACCAGACCTTTATTTTGGCACAGTTGATTTGATGCAGTGCTAAAGGGGTGTTGGACTGGTTGTTTCATGTGCCAGTCCATTTTCTTGTATTGCATGTTTTTACTATCTTAAGTTTGGAACTCTCGTACAAATATTGAGAGTCCCAAATTTTCAGACTAGGGAAACCCCGACGACATAATTTTCGACAAAAAAATATATTATGTACATTGCAGGTCATTGATTAATTTCTGGATGGATTACTTGTATAGGCTATTCTTACCCATTTCTTGCAAAACTGCATGTGGGAGAACCACAGCTTCTGGTCATCACAGAACATGGTGCAGGCTCTCTGTTCACAGTAACAAAGTAATACATCAATCAGTCCAATCAATCGTGTATTTCAAAAGGTTAAGAAATGTCCGTCAGCCATTGAACAAATCATTTTTCTAATTACCATTCTCCATTTATATCTTAAAGGGAATGTACATGCTTGGCTTTTACTGTAATTTTCAGAAATGAACTATTTGAGGGGTTAGTATAATAGATCAAATATTGTTACACCGACATGTTTGAAGTTTTGTGTTCGAAAATGCTGGAAAAACCAAGAAAAACAAAAAATGTTCAAGAAGTCTGATTCTTTGACTCCACTAAAGATAAAATGGATCAGTTTATAGATGCCTGAAAATGTTAAGGTAAGGGAACCAGTCTAGCTGGCCTGCACCCGTTCATGAACATGTAACCAATAGCAAACAAAATTTGAACTGAAAAAAAAGGGTACAGTTGCAGCAGTAGTTGAAAAATAGTTAAGTTTTTCCAACGGTGGTCAGCTGACCACCGTTGGAAATGGATACAAAAATACCATTTTCTTGAAAATGACTTCACACCAGGTGCCATAATTTTACAGGATGCTCTAGACTGTCGTTTACCAACATCCTAGTAAGGTATTTTGTAAAAACTTGGTAGTTTTTATTTTTCAATGTTTGCAAATGTTTTATATTGCCTTTAATCAGTGATGTCAATTCCAATTTTTTTCTTTAAACGTTTTGTGTAAATAACACTTTACCCTGAACAGTTTCTGGATTCTTTTGATGATTGCATACTCAATCTCATCCTTCTTAAAGAAGTATCCCATTCGCTGGGGAAAGAAAAGAAAATAAAGACGAAAATACACAGGAATTATTAACTTTAACTTCCTAGGCCTTTCTGCTTGTAGCCTCAATCCTGCAAAATCCTCCTATTGGCCTCATCGAAAAATAGCAATAACAGCCTCAATCCTGCAAATTCCTCCATTATTTCTTGAATATGGTCCATGGAGGGGTGACCACTGCCTGAATCCTGCAAAATCCTGCAGCAGTGACTGTCAATATGTTGAGTCTTGGCCAGTGACATCCTGGAGCAGTACGAAGGATTTCAAGCATAATCCAGGCCTATATTTATGCATGGCTGAGCAAAAACAACACAAGGTCAGGCCAAGACCTTGACAAAGTGCATCCTATAAAAATCAGTAACACACTTTTGCCATGTAACCTCAATCCTCCAAATTCCTCCACTTTGGCAAAGAGGATTTTGAAGGATTCAGGGCGGTTAGGGTTAAGGAACAAGCAAAGATCCAATGCAGGATTACACACATCAAATTGCCTATTACAAAATCAAATTCATTATGACTTTGTTTACACACTAACCTCTCTTCTCTTCCTGATTAATGACAGGAGGTTGATCTCGTACTGTGGGATTAATAAGACGTTTAGAAAATAAAACATCATCATGAGCAGTTGATATCACATTAATCAAAGCTACATTATAAAGTGGCTTAAAATTCTGTGTGTGTTCATAATGTGCCTATCAAATCCCCCCCCCCCCCCCCCGCTACCCCAGGTCCGATTTCGGGATTTGGTCATGTTTTTCATGCCCCAGGGTGGGGATTTCGGTCACTCAAATTACATTGTTAACATTGGCGTACTTCATGGAAAGGCAATCACTAGTGCGCCCCACGTATGCAAGTCGGGGCATGGTCTCATATTAGGGTGGCCGGGAAACAGTCTGGTAAATATCAGAGACGCCATGCTTTCTCAAAACTGTCGGAATTCTTTGCCGAATTCACACGATTTTTTGGATAACTAGACCTCTGAAGGTACCGAATTTAACAATTTTGTGCTATTTAGCAGTCATACTATAGCTGGGTTGATTTTCTGCTGATTAAATAGTTTCGATCTTTAATTGATTTTCGGCTCCCCTAGCAACGGGACCATCCGTGCACAGGCCGTATGTGGCACTGTGGCTCAATATACGGAGGTAGTCCAGTATTTCAGTCACATTTATGGGACTAAAGTCTGACATACGTACATTATAGTTGGCTAAAGAGTAAAGTTAGCCTGACTTTGTCTCAATTCTCTGTACTCAAGTTAAGGTCTCAGACTCTCAGTCTGTTACTTGACTAAATCACCACGCGTATATTTGACCATTTCTTCCTCCATGGTATAACTTAAGGAATCTGTATTTAAGCTCAACTTGACAAACCTGTATATAGCGCAGGAAATCTTGTTTATCTTTCTTGAGTCGGACAAGGCGGTACTCAAAACTGGTTCTCTTCTTTACAATTGTTCTTTGAAAAGTGGGAAAAGCAAATTTTAGTTAAATATCAAATTTTAAATATCATCATTAACAAAATTGTGTTATTTATTTAGAGAATGCATATTGAATATTCATTTTTTTCTACAAGTACAAGTTTTACTTTTGTTACGATTATCTGCCAAATTTGTCAGACTGTCAAAACTAACAAATGACTAAGGTAAATTAAATTTAAAAAAATCGAGAAATACTGACGTCACATACATTTTTGTACACTACTTAACGCTTGTTGTGAATCAAATATCTAGGAGACTAGGGCCTATACTCTGACTATACTAGTCTTTTCTGTGTTTTATTCCTCCATGATTATCTATAACACCCCCTCCCCTCCCCCCGCCCACGCATAGGCAGATAGGTGGCGCTATTTCGTCACTTTGGCACTTGCGCTGCAACTTTGCAACCATCTACTTACTTTATTTCTGCTTTCGTGAACAAGCCAACACGTTCCAATTGTTCTAGCTCCAACAGAGTTTCCTCTAGGTTCTGATGAACAAATTCTGCCATATTTAGATTGTTTAACAAGCGTTAAAAATTAACTGTATCATGGTCTGTGACCCGACTGTGCATTGCCCCAATGCATCATCTACGCGGGCAAAACACGTGCGCATTTTTATATACCTACTGCATGTCTAGTCCCCCACCTCAGCACATATTATTACTCATCAAGTAAACGCAAGATAAGGTCTCTGACTAGAGGTCAAAAGTCAAATAACAAATCATCATGTTGGTCCGGCAAATCTCGAAGCTTTTCAAAAGCCCTCTGAAATACATCGAAACTGGTAAGATCAGGGGTTGAAAACATACAATTATTGAAAGTGAAGTATTCATTACTTTTTACCGAATAAGGAGCTTATGGGGAATTTTTTGTCGCACTTTGCCCGGCCATAAAACGTACCGCAATTCACTTGTCACCGACTTCTGAGTTCACAGTGACAGTGCAGGGAGGGAGTAATTGCAGAATACCCCGCCACTCGGAAATACACCCCTAAAATCACTGGCTACGAGGTTGGAATCACTGCAAAAGAAACAATTCAAGTCCATTGCCAGCTACGCGGATACTGAGTGGGGGTCCATTATTTGAGAACGAAGCAACACAAAATGAATGGGAGTTGCTGAAAAAAATTCTAAGTCCAAACCAACCACCCTGTTGGCGGCTACGCGGTCATACGAAGTGGGAGTGCAATGGAGCATGACGCATACTCGGCATAGTACATACAAGTAGCGCTGAGAATGTTTATTGAGGTCAATTAGCCGTGACCTCGTAGCCGGCTACGAGGTGGATAGATCGAGTGGCGGGGTATTCTGCAATTGTGCCGCAGGGAGGCATGGAACGACTGGGCGGGGCCGGGGGGGGGAGGGGGTGCAAATAAGTTGCGGGTCAAAGCAGTATCGTGATGCTACTTGAGTACTTGTTATTTAATATTAAGAAATGTAGTTACCTGACACCACTTTCTTCATTGATATGTTCTAAACGGAATTGTGAAAATTATAAACTTTTTTATTTTCGGAAAGAAACTTGCAACCTGACACCACGCGCCACTTTCTTTCTTTATATATCATCTCAATAAAGGTTTGTCATTGCAAAAATGTTGAGGAAAAAATGTTGCAACCTGACGCCACTTTTTTCTTCCTGTATCATCTCAATAAATATGAAGGTCAGTCATTGCAAAAATGATGACATGAACCTGGGACAGAGAAACATTTCAATTTTGTTAGGAAATACTTAGAAAATGTTCTTGACTCTTCATAGACTTTGTACACAACCGCTGAAGTGGCGTTTGGATACTACATTCTTTCCTTATTTTCTAATCAAACTCGTGGAAAATGATTCTAAATTTCGGTTCCACTGTGGAATGGAAGAACCGTCATCCATGCATGGATAATTACTTTTTCTAAATTCCTCTATCATGTCTTATGGTCCCACATATATGTTCATCGTTATTTCCCAACAAAACTGACCATCGTCGAGGATTTAGTATTGATTTATGCTGATTTTGTTTCAAGTTGCTTTTTCTCAGAAAGAAATTAAAAGTCCAGTTTCAGTTCCATCCAAATGTGAGTTTTATCATGAAGTATTTCCTTTACTCACTGTACTGACTTCAGGTTTATGGTCAGCGGCCTTAGAACAAGTCCGTCCGGCGTTGAGCCTATGTGGTGTGAGATGGGCATCAAAGAAGGCTGGCAGCAGCAAGAGGAACCATGGAGGCAAGAGCCCTGGCCAGAGACTGGGCCTCAAGAAGAATGAAGGTAGGGTATGGCCATGTCTGAATCAATGGGAACATACCGAAATTAACATGCACACCTATGGAAGCCACTGGCTAGCGGCTGCGGACCCTGGCTAGCGGCTGCGGCCACTGGCTAGCGGCTGCGGCCACTGGCTAGCGGCTGCGGCCCCTGGCTAGCGGCCGCGGCCCCTGGCTAGCGGCCCCGGCCCCTGGCTAGCGGCCGCGGCCCCTGGCTAGCGGCCGCAGCCACTGGCTAGCGGCCGCAGCCACTGGCTAGCGGCTGCAGCCGTTTCCTTTAGACTTGTGTGTTATTGCTAGCCGCAGCCAAGTGATTCAGACACGACCTATCGTACAATGTCTCTAGCTTCCGTTTCATCATGCAAAGCCCTTCAAAGGTTTTTGAAACAGTGGCTTTGTCCACAGCAATCGGCTACATCTCTCAGTCTTCACAAGAAAGCCTTATTGAAATGTCCTCCTATAAATTCCCTTCATCTCTGGCTGGAAAATTTAACAAAGCCGTCCAAGCAGTCAATATCAATCACGTGACTGTTTTTAACATTTGAATGTATGCTGCCTGTATAAAGCAGGACTGACTGGCTGTGACTGTTTGTAGCCTGATATATGCGATAAGTGTAGGAGATTGATATTCGCCAGTTGTACCTATGTACTAGTTACTTGTATTTGTCTGTTGATGGAATTTGACTAGTCACCGTGCCTACAACAAAATGTGATCTGACTGTAGCTGACTAACATGTGTATAAGTTATGGGAAGGAGCGGATTGAATTTTTGACTGTCTGTGACTGACCAAACAGTTGGAGGGTTAACCCTCCTATGCAAACACACACATTCTGTGCCAAGTAGTCCTTTCAGTCAAAATCAATCAAGTCACTGTTTTCAACAGTTAAGAGCTGCCAGCCTGCATGAAGCAGGATTGACTGGCCGGGACTGTTTATGTAACTTGATACAGCTAGGCTTTGACTGAAGGTGATTGATAAGATAGATGTGCCAACCATTTTTTTGCTTTTGTCTGTTGACTGAATTTGACTAGTCAGAGTGTTTGCTTGAAATAGGATCCGACTGTTGGTGACTAGCCTGTATAAAAGGTATGGCAGGGGAAGTGGATGGAAGTTTTGACTGTCTGTGACTGTTTAAACAGTGGGAGGCTTAAAGTAGATTCAGGAAGCCTTGTATCAAATCTCTCCTGGATCCTTTAAAATACTAAAAGCTTCTGGATGTTGGAGGATGGAAGTAGGTTGAGCCAATCCACTTGACATGGGATCACAGGCCTTGAAATTTGGTAATTTTTAGGGTAAGGCCATTTTGGCCTTGAATGGAGCGCAATTATAGAGGGTACCAAGGCCAGTAGGTAGGGCATTAAGGCCAAATAATATCTGCAGAAGGGGCATGGGGCCGGCTAAAAAAATTGTGAATATTACATCGGCGATCGTGTAGTGATGGGCCCCTCTTTAGTTTCGATCAAATTAGAGTCAAGGGTGTTTTTTATCATTCAAAAAATTACCTTTTCAACTTATATTTGTATTTCAAAAAGGGCACGACGGCCAAGGTAAATCTGGGGCAAGGCAAACCTGGCCGTGAAAACGGGGATTTTTTTTGTGGGGCACCTCGGCCAGTAAGAAGGCAACGACGGTACTGGCCGTCGTGGCCGTTGTTCATTTCAAGCCCTGAGATCAAGTGCATTGTGAAAGTTTTAAGGATTCAGGGAGGTTTCTTTGTTGCTAGAGTCATTCTTGCACAGAGCCTTAGAATAGTTGGTCATTTTGTTGAGTGATGTGATCGGGAAATTGATTTATTGATGGATGTGATTTGTTTTGCAGGATGCTATGTGCAGCCCGGTATGATTCTGGTCAGGCAGAAGATGGCATTCCGATGGTACCCTGGGAACTTTGTAAGTATCACATAAACATGAAGGCAGTATTAGCAAACGCAGAGCCTTTTCAAATGTTTATTCCTAAGAACCCTCATCACCCTGAAACAAATCTACATTATAAGTTCTGACCCCCCCCCCCCTTTGCTAGATTAATAGGAATTCATTTCTGGCATCTACCCAACTTGTGTGAACATTTGACAAAGTTTCGTAAAGTTGGATTTTTTGGCCAGAAATTAGTATTTTTGATGACCGCGGATATGGAAATCTTTTCAGATTTTGACCATTTTGTGTAAAAAACTGAATGTTTTTTTTTTTTCTGGATGCTGACTGTAGTGAGCTGAAATCTCTTGGGGATTCATTTCTGGCATCTACCCACCCTGTGTGAACATTTGACTTAGTTTCGTGAAGTTGGATTTTTGGCCAGAAATTAGTATTTTTGATGACTGCGGATGTGGAAAACTTTTCAGATTTGGGCCGTTTCGGGTGAAATCTGAAATGTTTGTTTTCCCCCTGGATCCTTTGATACATAAATTTATATTGCATACAGGGGATGTAAAAAGAAATGAAACCCAAATGTCGGGACCATTGTTTCAGTTAATATGAAAGGATATGAAAGCCCAATTCGTAAGCTTTCTTTTAGTACAAGAATCATTCAAAAAGAGGTAAGTGTTCTTTCAGCCGAACGAAAACAAATCACATAGGGATGAGTGTGAATTGTTTCATTTTGCTGAAAGAACGCACACATTTTTGGTGATCCGTGGACACAACTTTGAACTGGAGGTTGTGTTTAAAACTCCGTAACTTAAAGAGTACATGAGTGATTTGAATGATTCTTCTACTGAAAGAAATCTTATGAATTGGGCTTTCATATCCTCAATTTTGAAAGTGCTACATGCAGAACTTCACTCAAACAATAGTCCCGACATTTGGGTTTCGGGTTTTTTTTACTCACCCTGCAGTCCTTCTGTTCTGAAAATCACAGGCGTGTGGAAAAAGGCCCACCTGGATTTTTCCAGGCGTGTGGTTTTTCTGGGTGTGTGATTTTCTAGGTGTGTGATTCTTTGGTCCAGGGAAATTCAGGCGTGCAATTATTCACACTTCTTGGGAAGCTTTTAGGCGTGCGACGGCGTGGGGGTGTGATCGCACGCCTCAAATCAGAAGGACTGCCCTGTATTTTAGTATACACGACACCACACTGATTTAAGCACCATGAAAAATATGTAGAAAGGCAAGTTTTTGAAAATGTTTTAAAAAATGCAAGCATTTTAATTGTTTCTTTCTTCAGGTTACAACAGGGCGTGACAGGACCCTATCGGCCCAGGTGGCAGGTACCGTCTACTTCACCCAGGAGCGGTGGAACCCTAGACCAGACACGGAGTTTGGGAGATCCGTCGCCCCTACGCTGTCAGACGAGGCAATGACGAGGACATTTGTGAACGTCAGGCCAGAGCCGGAAGTGGGGAACTTCA